GAAGACTGGAGAATGAATAGTGGGAGAAAAGAAAGCCATGTAAAATTGCTCGAGTCGAGGGCTGAGGCCCCCCACACACACAAGAACTTGCATGGGACTGGGAAAGAAATTATGGAAAAAGTGTCCTTTCAGACAGAAACGGGGGAAAGAAGCATTGTGTTTTTTTTGTGTTTTTTTAACAGGACCCCTATTCTTCTGTATGTATGTGCATGTCACTGATATCAAGTCACTGCTGTAAATACTAAATACTCATCATAAGACTTGAAGTTGATATTATGGTCTCTAACGAGTATTTTGTAACACTGTAATCATTGCTTTTTAATTTATCAAATGATGGTTACTGATCTAGCTGCAATGTAGCAAAATAGGGCACTTTCCACATTGCTGATGGAAGTGTCAAGCTATAGTTCAGCATTTCAGTCAGTGTGAGTCATTTCCAGAACCTTTTCATCACAAAGTGGTGCTCCAGACTTCAATGACTATAAAATGGCATTACAAAAACTCATTATTCCAACAAAGTTTATTGACAAGACCATCTGACAGAGGAACGGGGAGCCATTGAATATGAGAATAACTAATACAGCTACTTGGGCTGAATGTTCAGTGTTCCAACCTCAAATGATGTTTCTTCTCAGAAGACGAAAACAAAGTAAAAGGATTGAGCAGCTATACAACTTTGTCATATCAGTACCATCCTTATGCCGCTTTCATGTCTAAAAACTGAAACCCTGTGAAGAATAAGATAAGCTATCACAATTTTATATTTGTAGTCAGGCTTGCTGTACATATGTATATATATATAGTTTTCTAGTCAAGCTACATATTTACTTGGCATTAATTGCTAGCTTTATTTTTACATATTCACCTTGTTACACTGCCTCTTAATATGAACCCAATATGCACTGGCTTTTTAAATTCCTGGTTTCAGGAAAACCTACCAAAATGAACTCGGCAATCTCCTTTAATGAATTCTGCAACAAGTACAAGTAGACAAAGTGCCACTGTGCTGAGCTACAGAGATGCTTTATAATGATTCCATCTTGCGACAGATAAAAAATAACCTTTACAAGTTTAAAAAGTTAATGTACATTATCAAGCAAAAACCAAGTTTTTTTTTTTTATACCGCCCCTGAGTTGCTACTATTTCAAACTTAATTAAAATACCTAAAAAGCAGTATTACATTAATAGTTATAAACATCTTGATTTTTGACCACTGAACACCACTGAAGGTTGTCATTGAGGCTGTTTTGCAGGCACTTTTTCTAGGCAGGTTTTATTGACAATTGATTTGAGAACTATGAAATAAAACGAGGCAGGTGAGTAATGGATATTTAACTCTCATTTGTTGAGTGGATATTTGTGATGAAGGAACTTTTATGTTGCACTTTCTGGAATTTCATATTTATTCAGTGACAATGCTTGCTACAATGGCATATCAGAATGAAAATACAGGCAGATATTTATTTTTTTTGTATCTTTTTTTGACAGAAAATATCAAGACAATATTTTTTTGGTTAAGTCCATAATAAAGAAGCAATTTCAATGATTTGCCAACCCTATTTTTTTTTACATGGTACAAAAAGATGTCAAGTAGTATAAACTGCAGCATAAGCTGCATCAATTTTCATCACAATGCAATATTTTAAAAACACAGAATACAAGTTTGGTAAATATAATAAGCATATGATGTGGCAGGGTAAATACAAGAACCTGTCAAGTTGTTACTAGGATTCATACACTCTAAGCAATTGTGACACTTTCCATTTTCTGTAATCAAGGTACAGTGTATATTGGACATACCTTTCATTAAACTCCTAGTTCCTACAGGAGAAATTTTAAACCTAACTATTGTTCATTTATTATCATACAGAACATGGAATACTTTCAAAATAATTGAATTTTCTGTTCCTGTACAGAGAACTTATTCAAAAATGGACACATGCATCTTCCCTCTACAGACTATGACATCTCTGATTTATTTCAATCTCGCTTCACTACAGCTCTCCCTTTACTGATTGAATGGCATCCACATTCGTCCCCCTGTGCAGACATCTCAAATAAGACTTGAAAAAAAGAAAAGAAAAGAAAAAACAAAAACAAAAAACATAAAAAAAAGAGAGAAAAAAAAAGAAGAAAAAAAGGCCTTTCATTACATTATTAAAGGGTTAATAGTGACTTGCGCACTGCCTGAATATCTCTGAAGGGCAGAGCAAGGCGAGGGTTTTCCAGCCCTTCACATACTTAAGGCGTTTCCCCCCCTCCGTTTTCTATCAAGTTAAAATTTACAGCGGTTCCTCCTGATCACATAACAGAGTTCGTGATCACTTGATTTAGTTACTTTCCTTTACTTCCTAGATGAGTTTAACTTTACTCTTTTAGTTTCCTCAAGCTATGTATATATTGCTTTCTTGTAAAACTGCTGCAAATGTGGCTAATATAAAGTCCACCATTACTCAAGAGTTTTTGCTGCATTCGTGATACAAAATGCATCATGCCAAC